AAAAATATTGTTTATTTATTATGGAGACAGTATAGTGTGAATAAAATAAAGACTCCACAATATTGGCACCTTAACATGGAGGAACGATTTGACTAAACGCATGATCCTCAGGGCTATGTTGTCTGAGGCATCAGCACCTAGTAGGGTCTCTCATGTCAAACAGGCCTCAGAGAAGGGGCCAGATCAAGAGTGATTCAAAACCATGATGAATAAATAACATATAGATAAAGAAACCTTGCCCAGAAAAGAGAAACCAGGGAGCCTCCCTGGAGTCAGGCCTGGGTGAACGAGCTCAACCGACATGCACCTGGTGGTCGAGTCTGGGCTCCTGTGGCTTGGTCAGGCCTAATCTGAAACAAAGACTGGATGCCAAATCCTCATGGGCCCACCACCTATGAGGAGTACAGACAGAGTTTGGTCCCAATAGCTACTGTCTGCTTAAATCAAAATCAAACCTTGGTGTAGGTGAGGGAGGGTTCCTGGCCATGAAAATTCCTGGCGACATAAACTAGTTCTAGGAACATGGAATATCATCTAACTGGAATGATCCCAGGTGAACAAGAGATTTGCCACTCTGCAGCTTTGAGCTGCAGGAAGGAAGTTTCTGACTGTTTTTTTTTTGGGGTTTTTTAATATATATCTTGCTACTTTTTATTTGATGATGTGATATTTTTGTTAAGCACTTTGGTAACAGTTTCTGTTTTAAATGTGCTCTATAAATAAATCTGACTTGACTTGACTTGATTTGAAATGCACCAAACAACAGTTCTAATTACCTGCCTTCTTGAAGTCTCTGGAGGTATCCTGGAATGGATGCAGTTTGGGGATTCTGTTGTTCTACTGTTTAACTTCAATGCCCGCGTGGGAAATGATGAAGCTTTCTGGAAGGAGGTGATTGGAAGGAACAGACTTCTTCATCTGAACACAAATGTCAATCTGTTATTGAACTTCTGTGCTTAGCATGGGCTGTTCATAATGAACACCATGTGCTAGCCTACAGAAGTCCAAAATGGCACTTTGCGACTAACTCAACTTTCAGCAATTCTGCACCACACCAATTAAGGGTCTTTCCACTGATGGTACCCACCCCATTTCAGCCCAGTTTTTGGGGCCACCTTGTTTGTGGTTCCAAGTAGACTACACCAAGGTTTGATTTTGATTTAAGCAGACAGTAGCTATTGATTGGCTAGCAGAGCTACATAATTGGATGATCTGGCCAGCAAAATTGTAAACTAAATCTGAACCACCACTTCCCCTCTGAACA